ACTTTAGGGTAGCATAGTAACATCATAAACTCAGATTTATACTTATCCTAAAGGGCTCTTGGGAGAAGGCAGTGGTGCCCCACTCCAGTACTCGTGCCTGGAAAATCCCATGGACAGAGGAGCCTGGTAGGCTGCAGTCCATGGGGTCGCTAAGAGTCGGACACAACTGAGCAACTTCACTTTCACTTTTCACTTTCATGCATTGGAGAAGGAAATGGCAACCCACTAATATTCTTGCCTGGAGAATCCCAGGGACAGGGGAGCCTGGTGGGCTGCCATCTATGGGGTCGCACAGAGTCGAACACGACAAAGTGACTTAGCAGCAAAGGGCTCTTAGAATTTTTTTTTCTTCCCCAGTTCTGGAGTCAGCTGTATGATCCAAGCCAAAAAAATAATAAGATAGAGGATGTTTGCTTTCAATTGTTTTAGAAAAAATACAAGTGATGAAATTCAGTGTTTGTATCCTATCCATACTCTATTGATATACAACTTTTTGCTTATAGGTGTTCTCTACTCTATAAGGATTACCAAAAATGAAGCCACATATAAGAAAAATAAGAAGTCTTCTGAAAAGTACTTACAAAAAATGGATTTTCAATATGCAGTATAATTTTCAATTATACTGCAGAAATTCCAGTCAGAATTCTCACAGCCTTCAATTTTTTAAGACGTTGATTTCCAAATCAACTATCATAAATAGTCAACTCAAAAATACCTTTGTTGATGTCCTTTAGAACCTTGGACATGATTTTCTGATTTTTAAAATTTTTATTTTCTAGTTAACAGCAGAAAATAATCTATATTATGCCAAATCAATCTGAAAACTAGGAGTTATCTAATGGTTACAGAAAAATTTTCACTATCCATATTAGACATGACCCTCTATTCAGCACTAATTCTCTCCAAACAGGGCAGGGTAATTGAGGCTTTCATAAACTCCTTTTTGGAATAGGCAAAAATTACATCAGAAGCGAATGAATGGCCATGTTGTTATTTAAATTTGGTTCAGCTGGGAGGCCGAGTGTGGGAGTGTACCAGACAAGCAGAGGGACACATGCAGGTTACCACAGGTTAGCGCGCTGCCTGGGGCTCAGTGAAACTAAAAAAAAAAAAAAAATGGCTCACCACTGTGCATGTCACTCTTATACACAAACCTGACTAATTTACCACAAACATAAATGTCTAACATTTAAATATTTGTGTATTCATCTTTATACTTCTCGAAAGTATTTCTGGGAGTACAGAAGTAAACTCCAAAAAAAAAAAAAATTCCCTTTTACCTCAAATGGCAGTGTTGTGGGAGTGGAAAGATTTAGTCCATTTGTGCTACTGCTAATCTGGTACGATACTGCAGAAAACACAAGAAAGAAAGAAGATAATAAATGTGAAGTATACCCGAGGCCTCAAGCTCCTCTGTAAGCCTAGGGTTCTAAAAACTAGTTCCACCTTGTTGAAGTCATAACTGCTATGCCTCAGATTTATTGTGATTCCAGGCCTGGGAAAGAAATGTGCTTAGTCACTCAGTCGTGTTCGACTAGTTGTGACCCCATGGACTGTATAGCCTGCCAGGCGCTTCTGGGAAAGAAAACCAAAGGAAAAAAAAAAGTACCCACTGAGATAAAATCAAGAATGCCAAGGTAAAAAACAAACAGTGCACTAAAATGCATGTAATATGATCTGTGGTGATGATTTCCTCTTCTTTATGTTTTCTGTAGTGGAGAAATACGCTGACTGGAAGGTCAATTCTAGTATTTCGGGAAGGGAAAGATGTAACAATATTGAAAATATATCTGCATTCTAGACATTAACTCATTATTCTGTGATTATATACATTCTTCTCTACTGGCTCAGGGTAATTATTTTTAAAGTTGCCATCTGTACCTACTATGAGGCTCTTCAAGTGCCACCAACAAACAGACATGTTTCAGTCAACACTGTCCTCTTTAGAAAACAGGCAAGGAAAGAATGCAACTACGCTACTTCACTAGAGTAAACATTCCAGCAGGTGGCTCTAATATGTTCCATGAAATCAGGAAATTTTAAGCCCTCTGGAATAGAAATGTCATCCTTCATGATGATTACACAATGAAGATACTTCTAATCAGAGTACCAGAAAGATCCCCCTCTCCCAAAACATGCTCAGCATTAAAAACAGATGAACTGAACTGTTAACTCAGAAATGGGCTCTTCTCAAAACCCAAAAGATCCCAGAACTTTGCGATAATCTTACTCTGAAAGTACTAATGTATTTATTGCTTGAAAAAAGCAATGAAAAATATTAAAAGTAGCTATACATAAGAGCTCAAAAATTATGCTTAAATTAAAATGTAAAATCATTTATGAAGAAAAGTATGCAGGAAGCCCATTTACCCACATTAGCTTGGCCAAACAGGGGAGGTCATTGAGGGAAGACCCTATAAACGGATACAAACCTGAATTTGTACAATATTTCTGGGACAAAGGCTCAGTGTTTAGTATCATAATGTTTAAAATTGAGGTTATTTTTATCAGCTGCTATAACCTCTGATGCCTCCCTGACTATTGGGTATGCTCTGACTACTTTTTTATTAGGCCAGCACACAGTTAGATAGCACAGCTGTTCAGTAACAACTATTCAATTGCATTTTTCTGACATCCTGGATATATACTATCAAGAGTATCCTTTTACATATTGACTCCATAGTGTTAAACCTCAGAAACCGAGTGAGTATATGAATCTAGGTTCATCTTAAGACTGAATATATTGGAACTTCCCCTTGTGGTCCAGTGGTTAAGACTCTGCACTTCCACTGCAGGGGTCGGGGGGCGTAAGTTCAATCCCTGATGGGGAAATCCCATATTCCACACAGTGGGGTCAAAAAAGGGGGGAGACTGATTATATTATTTTCTATATAAGCATAAGGAATGATTAAATATCAACTTAGCAAAAACGTTTGTCCAAGACTTACTGTTAGACATCAGTCTCCTCCACTGGTTTTAGCATGATTCGGCTTGTTTTATTATACAGTTTTCCGATTACAGGAGTTGTATGACCTGAGAGGTATACTGATAAATTTTTGCTGTAAACTCTAGTCTGTTCCTAATAACATACAATTTAAAAATGGAGAAAAGCTACAGAAACTCCTCAAGTATTTAATCTCTATTTAACCAACCACCTTATCTTTTTATGAGTGGTAAAACAGGATTCTTTCTGCTTTTTTTTTTTCCTCCAAACATCCTCTGGTAATGAAACGACTGAGAAATGGAACTGCCCAGGGAGGGAGAAAAAAATGCAACAAACTGATTCATATAGAGTTGGTGTCTCTGTATAAAGAAACCAAAACACTGAAACTCATTTTTTAAGTCTCTTTTTCAAATAAAAGCTGATAAATGAGGTTAATTCAGTTTTACTTTTAAGATCAGAAGGTCTCTAACGTGGGTTGCAAGGCTATTGCTCTTATCAGAAGTTTCAAGGGTCACAAATTAGAAATGAGGGAATTTTAAGAATCAGAAAAAAATCCATGCCACTTACAGGATCAAATCATTACAAATGACAAAGGCAATGTCTGGATTTTTTTTTAAAGTCTTATTGAAATGTGCAAAGTTTTAAAGTAAGGCAGCGAGGTTTATGCTGAAAGAGGAAAATGATGCTCTAAGATACAAAGCCTGCAGGGTTTCCAAACGCAAAGCCTTTGGGGCTGGAAGAAAAGGAGCGAAGGCACGGTCTGTATTCCATTAAAAATGGATAGCTGCCATTCAGCATAAGCCAACTGCACTTTCATGAAGAGGTGTGAGGCTGGTGTTGAAAAGGTTCTGACTTTTCAATCAGATCAATATGCAGAAACTTTCTCCAGCAAGTTTTAAGTATTAAATGTTTTCTTATAAAAATGTTATGGAAAAAAATTCTGGTTAGGAAGAAGAGTCAAAAAAAATCTATAACCCATACGTGCGCAGGCACTGTATGACATGTGGACCAATCTTCCAAGTCCCAGTGTAGGTCTGATCTCATACTACTTGGTATAAATAAACTTAAAATGCTTAGCATTCCCTAGGAGAGTCAGCAGTAGAAACATCAGCCACTCCAGGAAACAGACTTTGGCCTAGAAATGGTGTCTGGAGTATTAATGAGAAAAGCGGGAAGACAAGACATGGTAGGACTATACACACATTAGAAAGAAAACTAATACCTCCATTATCTTATGTTGGGCTTTACAAAGTTCAATGTTAGAATTCTTTTTATACCTAAAATGCTAGAATGGGCTGAGTTACAATGCAGCATGGAAAACTGATTATTGATTAAAGTATGATTTCTGGATATTGTTACTAGGTAGTAAGCTCTTTGGAAAATACCATCATATCTCTGAAAAAAAAATCAAGAAAAACAACAATAGAGAAAAATAATAATCACAGAGCACACCAACAACCAGGGTGAAATAAGACATAAAAGAAATGTCTAGTTTTGGAAATGATGTGCTAGTACCAGCAGTTACCAAGGGTTGGTTGATTGAATCCAAGTCAAGTTTAACTGGCCAGAGTCAAGTATCACTTTAAGTCAGTCTATTTGACCAGTTCATTCTGAAAAAGAGCAGTGCTCTTCTTCCTTTGTTACATGTGATTTAGACAAAATAAATATGATTTAATCTGAACAAATTTGTTTAAAAAATACAAAATATCATTTTTATATAAAACTCTACCCAAACCAGTAAGTTCAGGTTTACATAAACAGACACACAGATATATTTTTAAAATTCCAAAAGTCCAGACACAAGCCCATAGGGGTGTGTGGCCATCATAGGCTAATCATTTAACTCTGGCAGTTGTAGGACTATTGTGAGGTGGGTGGGTCTCTGACCTACACTTAACAGCTGTCAGCTTTAATACCCTTCCCATGAGGAAATTTTTACCTTTTGTTCAAAACGTTTGAACAAAACTCACCACTGAACAAACAGATATGTTAACAGGACACTTGGCACAAAAGGACTAAGAGAAAGTGGGTCTTATATAGTCCCTCAGGCTGTCAGTCATCTAGACACAAGTGAGTCAGCATCCATGGTGTTCAGAAGGTAGAGTTCAGGTTGAACTGTCAATCCCAGATGGTACTGAGGACAAAAAGATGGAAGAGGGTTAGACTGATTTATAAGTATTTAAAATTGGCATTTAAATATCTATAATCAGCATATAAAAGTAGCTTTTATTTCAGTTCTGCTATACTGATTTTCTTTCAGAAAATAAACAGCTTACAGATATATGAGTGGTTTACTAAAGTAATTGATGGGCGCTGAAATAGTTAAGGATTTGTTAATGCCAAATGCAAAATTTGCACTTTAACTATTCTTGCGACATATTCTACCTCAGCATGGGTGTTTCTGATCAGGATATTAAGAGCAAATGTACTGCGAGCTTTTATACCTTAATACTAAGTGTGTTAGAACTCAAATTTCAGGGAATTCCCTGGCGGTCCAGTGGTTAGAACTCTGTGCTTTCCCTGCAGAGGGTTCAGGTTCAATTCCTGGTTAGGGAACTAAGATCCCACAAGCTGCACAGAATGGCCAAAAAAGAGAAAAGAAATCAAAGTTCAAATAGTCTCAATTCTGAGCCCTATTGTCTGGGCTCTAATTATCCTTTGGCACCTGAGCAGAGAAAAGCCTTTCATTAAACAAAAGAAAGAAACATAAAATGGCATGTGCTAAGAGAAAAGGAGACAATCTATGGATCCCAGACATTTATCAGACTTTATAAGAATTACTTTAGCTGCCCTTAAAACACATTGCCAGGAACCTCCCTGGTGGTCCAGTGGTTAAGAGTCCGCCTTGCCAGGCAGAAGGTTTGACCCCTGGTCAGGGAACTGTGATTGCACATTCCTGGAGGCAACTAAGCAAGCTCTGGCCCACAAGCAGCAACTAGAGAGAAGTCTGCGCACAGCAATGAAAGATCCTGCGAGATGCAACCAAGACCCAAGGTGGACAAAAAATAAATATGAAAACAAAGCAAAAAATATACTGCCAGACTCACTCCAGGAGGCCTAATCCAGATGATTTGTATTGGCATTTGTAAAGTTGTAGCTTACTCTTTTTCTTTCCTTTGAATTCACCGTGGGACAATCACTGAGTCTCCTTTTAGCCCTACTGGTATCACCAGGGGTTTGAGGAATGTTGCTGCCCCTTGCTACCAACAGCCTTTTCTGGGCCTTTCAGTCATCTCATCTGTATACAGACTGAACCTTCTGTTGTAAGAATCAAATGAGATCATATGAGTGCCCAGGATGCCAAATGCACACTATAAATTGATAGAAATATTTCTAGCAGAATATAGTGCAAAAGGCACTGGGGCTAGAATCAAGCTTCAACTCTGCCATTTCCTTTGACCTTGAGCAAGTTATGCATCCTTCTTGAGCCTTATCCAACTCATTTGTAAAACAGAAATAAATGGTGTACTTTAAAATGCCAAGGACATTAACAAACTATCTCATTTTGTGTGTGTGTGGGTGGGTGTGATGTCGTGTCTGACTCTGTGATCCCATGGACTACAGCCCGCTAGGCTCTTCTGTCCATGGAATTTTCCAGGCAATAATACTGGAATGGGTTGCCATATTGTAGTCCAGGGAATTTTCATGACCCAGGGAGTGCCCCACATCTCTTGCGTCTCCTGCACTGGCAGGCCAATTCTTGACCACTACACCACCTGGGAAACCTATCTCATTTTAGTCTTCAATAATTTTTTTAGACATTAAAAATTCCTATCAGAGGTTTATGATGACTGTGTGAAGATGAGACAAAATGGGGCCCATGATAAAACTATTCTCAACTGGAAGGCTAGCTAGGAATTACTGAGTCACACTGGAATTAGGGCAGAATCACAGCACTTCAGATTTCAGCCTTTATACTTACTTCAGGGTTTTATGACTCAGGTTTTAGTAACCAAGAGCAATTGTCAAAAAAAAAAAAAAAGAGCAATTGTCAGATACACTGACAATCCACTGCAGCCTTTTCTTAAGTGAACTAAGGTGGGGGGGTGGGTGTGTAGTAAGCAAGGGCTGCATTTTTAGCCCCATGACCTCCAGGTTGTATCACTTGATGGCTTAGTAGAGAAAACTCCTTCACTGGAAAAGTTTGTTGTATTGCTCAGGGACACTGGGAAATGGAGCTAAATAGCAGAGGAACTGGCTAAATCTTTCAAGGGCAGAGAGGTACACAAATGAATATCACTTCTTACTTATTGATGGCCCTGCCCATTTTCCACACCCAACAGAAAAAGCATTCAGGTACTTTTGAAAATTCAGCACAGACCAAACAAAATTAGTCTATGAATTGGCAACTTTTGACCTAAAACATATTCTAGCACTCAGAGTATTAAGAGAAGTATCTTTGATACTGTTCTTGGTGCGGCTAAACACCAAAGCTTGGTGTCTAAAGTGTACTATTAAATGTATACTACGTATTGTATAGGATGATTAGTAAAAATAACACGGGTTCTGGAATTAAGCTAGTCAGGCACAAATGCCAAATGCCTACTGATTAGTGATGTGTTATTTTAGTTTCTGGACCTTCAGTCGCCTTATATATATATATATACATCCTTTTGCTGTAAGAATTATGAGATCGTATGAGTGCTGACGGCTTCCCAGGGGGCTCAGAGGTAACAAATCTGCCTGTCGATGCAGGAGATCCAAGAGATGCGGGTCCAATTCCTGGGTTGGGAAGATCTCCTGGAGTAGGAAATGGCAACCCACTTCCATATTCTTGCCTGTAAAATCTTATGGACATAGGACCCTGGTGGGATATAGTTTATGGGGTTGAAAAGAGTCAGACACGACTAAACCTGCATGCACACACACACACACAGAGTGCTTAGAACCCAACTACCATAATAATGTGTTATTTTTAATGTTCCAAAGCTAAGGTGTCAAAAGAAGGTGACGCATCTGGATTCACTGGTCCTGTCCAAGGAAGGAACACAAAGCACTGCAGAGGGCAGCGCTAAAGAAAGTCTCCAATCAGGATCTTCAAATTGTGATGCACCCTATTTTAGCTATGAAATTACACCCAAATAAAGAGTTGCCTGGTATCTTAGTGGTTGGAATTCTAAGCTTTTATGCCATAAGCCCAATCCCTGCCATGGGTTCAATCCCTGGGCAGGAGCTAAGATCCCAGAAGGCATATGGCAGAGCCAAAAAAAAAGATTTTAAAAAACAAAACAAAAGCAAGGTAAGAAGGGTGAGTTAAATGAGGAAGGACAACACAGAAAATAAAATTCTCAGATAACTTCTACGGTGTTATTTACAGGATTTAGTTCCTGTAAGACAGAAAGGGAAAGCTTGCGACAGAGAAAGGGAAAATGAAGTTCTAGTGACAATCTTGGACAAATTAAGGGTTGACTTAGTTTTTCATGCTATGTGTTTGGTGACAAGCCTAGTAATTTACTGTGTCTGAGTTTTTTATTTATATCCGGTCTTTGTATTTATATGCTTTCATTTCTAAGTTAAACGATTTTCCTTTCATCTTCCAAACACTCATACTTTTTACTGGAAGCATATGCAGAATATAAACGCCTACCTCAATGGTGAAACAAGACTACAGACAGAAAAATGTTCAGCTTAAAGCAGAAAAAGGCAGAATGACAATTTTTTTTCTCAATTTTAAATACTGTAATGATGTAACCTTTAGCAATGGCAAAACTAATTAAATTGGTGGTAGAAATTAGTGTTTGGTGTCTATAATTCATCAAGTCTTCTGGGAACTAAACCTATGTTGAGCATTGAAAAAATTGAATTTGAACCTCAAGAGTCTCTTCATATACATTTTTTTTCAAAGGTAAATACAACAGAAATACATGATCCCAGGCAGGATGAATCTGAGAACATGAAACCACACATTCGGAGGAACACTGGACATGAAAGGCTGAATATAAACATGAAGAGCTGACTATAAATTACACGCAGAATTTTTATTCCATGGAGGGTCAGCACCCCTAACACCTAGGTGGCCAGGGAGGTCAACTGTATTCCTCTATCCCTTCTAAAGAGAAAAATCACGAACAGTGTGAATCCAGTATGTCAATCCAGGTGGTAACTGATGTTTCAGTATTTCAAAGTTGTTGAGATCCCACTCAAAGAGTATTTTCAAGGTTTAAAAAAAATATTCAGGAAACCAAATTGGAAAAAGGAAAAAAAACCTTTTTAATTACAAACCAAGTTTACATACTGTTAAATGGTCACTAAAAGCTCACTGTAACCACTCCTAAAACCACTAGCAGGACCTCACAGGAGCCAAACTGCAGTTCTTCCCCATTGCTGATAATTCCCAGTACGATATAGCAGCAGTTATTTCATGCCACATTTATAAAGAACAAGGACCATTTTACATAAAGTACAATTATATATCCTTAAACATTTCACACAAACAGAATGCACATGCTGGCACTGGAAGATGTCAGGTTCTAAACACTGTTTACTGTACCCAAAGTAGTGGCTGAACAGAAAGTACACTTTCTATCTGAAAGCATGGGAATACAGTATAGGAGTGTTTTTAACACTGTAAAATACTACACACATAGTGACATAAACTGACATTTAACTGGGAAAAAAATTTTCATCATTGCAAGACATATATATAACTTTGAAAAGAAAACTAGCAGCTTTTACCTGGGCTTCTAAATATTTGTGAATCTGAGACTGACTGGACCCAGCCAGACTCCAGGCAACAGTAAACGATGTTAGTGTACCATCTTTTACAAAGAATTCTGTCAACATGGCCCTCACCTACTGAGGCCAGATGAGAGCTTAAGATGTCAGTCCCCAAAATCTACAGAGTGCCCTTGTGAACAGTTTAGGGGATGATGGTAGGGGAAAGGGAGGAACGGTTGGGGAATTTGTCTCTCATGATTCTATGCTATGTCACTGGAGGGGCTGAGGTAAAGGTATGGTCAGTGGAACACAGAAGTTTACCCTTAAAGCCATGTAAAAGACAGTCCATTCAGTCTGCGCTTTTGACTGTGTACAAAGTATTGGACACAATGCCTTTAGGGACTCAGGTGAACAGAGAACATCAATCAACAGGCACTCCAGAAGGAAGACACCAAAAATGCAGTCCTTCGATCACATTCCCATTACTGTTCTCTCCAAGTCAGTGGCTATAAAAGACCTGATTATTTATCTCCACTGGACAATGTGACTTGGTTTGAGATAATCACATGGTGTCAGGCTCCACATGTCAAAATGTCAGAAGTGGCTGAAGAGCAGCAGCTCCATGCTGAAGAGACACATTTCCTCTGACTCCAGAGCTCCACCATCTGGTCTCAAATTTTTTCCCTCTGAGGGAATGGCTGAAGAGAGGTAGCTCAGTGAAACCCTGCAGAGAGGACTTGGCAACCATAGTGACACCGAAGGACTCGCTCAGAGGGAGCGAGCTTTGCAATGCTTACATCCAGAGCTCCTGAGATTGCCTTGCAAGTCGTCTTGGGCATGCTTCAGAAAAACATGACGATTCTGGTAGAAGGTGTTTTTTAGGAATAAAACAGATGGCTCCTCTTCTTTCAAGTTTTTTCTCCTCACCCCAAAGTCTCTTGAGAACATCAGTTCATAAATGCTACCATCTTTTTCTATCACTACCCTCCTAGAGGAGGAAGGGGAAGGTTTCCCAACTCTAAGTGCTCAAGAAGAAACACCATATGAGAACTCTGTACTAACATGAGAGTTATTAAAATCGGGACTCCCAAGAACATTTCAGTAAGCTCTCAATCTCTGAGGGAAATCATCAGAGTGATTTTCAGAAGAGATTAGTATTAGTCACCATGACCACAAGTGAGTTTTACCATCTGTCCATTTATCATCTTCTTTAATGCTTTCTTACTACCCCTCTTAACTTTCAATGAAATTAAAGTGAAAATAAGTTAAAAGAATCCTAACCTGATGGAGGTAGATTATCTCATAATTTTATACTTAATATGAATCAAACCACCCTAATTGAGATTTTTTTAAATAATTAATTCAAAGGGTATGCATAAGGAAAGTATTTCTCAGACTTTAAATCCATTATTTTTTGATAAATAAAACTTGCATACCTATTCTGTAATTTGTATTATGACAAATATATTGCATTTTCCAAATACATTTTTTTAACATATAGTCAGTCTTGTTAAGAATCATGCACTGAGAACTATCTCACATAAAGATAAAACAAGCTGACCCTGGGACAGTGAAAGAGTTCAGTGCTGTTTGAAAGCAGGTGTCAAGCTGTCAAAGATTCTAGCTAATCCAGTTACCAGGTTAGGAGTTCAGGAGAAAAAATAATGCTATCTTTCAAACAAATATGCAACAGTGTCTTTCCCAACGAACAGCTGAGTCCTAATGCAGTCTGTGCACCAGCACATACCTTTGGCCGTGTTCACACAGTAAACCATAGAAACACACTGGCCCTGATGGCTACCCGTGAGCAGTGTTTACTTATGAGCATAGCCAGTGGTGGCTTCTTCGGTCAGCAGGACTTTAGAGATGCTTACCGTGTGCCCACAGTCCAGGAAGGACATGCCCAGTGCAATCAAACACTGCCAACCCTGGAAGAGAAAATATGGTCATCGTTTGCTGAGCCCTCTGGAGAGTCCACTTACGCCCCTCACCACCCACAATGCACTGCTGTACTCTCTGCTGTACTAATTTCAATACTCAGTTCCCTCTGCTTCCTACTGCTTTGGATTTGTGGTGTGTTTTCTTTCATCTGACTCTCAGGCGGAATTCCTTGAAAACCACTACCCCATTTCAGTCCTACTCCACTCCTCACAATGCAGGGCAATGACTGACTGGCTAATACAACTGCCACAGTCTCCTGAACTAAACAGTAGTAATTCATCTAGAATCAGTCCTCAGCCTTGAAAACGGGTCTTCAACATTTTCTATAGCCTCAGGGTGACCAAGAATGACTCGGCCCTGTCGTAACTGATCTGCATGAAGTAAGGATCCCCCTTAGGTTCTACAGCACATTTGGGGGGGGGGGGGGGGACGTTCAGGTAGGGGACGTGCTTGCAGAGCTCAGTTCCCTGACCAGGACTGAACCTGGGATTTTGAAGTGAAAGTCAGAAATCCTAACCACTATCCCACCAAGAGTCACCCTACAGCGAATTGTTAAAACAATTTCTGTCAAGGCCATACTGAGTTACTTGGGTTTCCTGGAAGTAAGTCCTTATATTGTAGGGTCAGCATAATCTTAGTGTGCCCATGGTTTACTGAGAAGGAAAAAAGCAGAGCTATATCTAAGACATAATTTCTCAACATTCATTAAAATGATTTTCCCAATCAAGTATCTACCCTCTGGCAGACACCGACATGGGGACTAGGTAAGTGTTATAAGATGAGCAGGGGGTTTCTATCATCCAGTCTTCCCATTCTCTGTAGCAGACATGGTATAAATTTGGCTGTCCCTAATCCTCAGCCCCTGTGATTTTTAGAGTAACCTGTGTAGAATAATGAGGGAGATGTGTTGTTGGCATAGCTGCTTTTCACTGATATAAGTAATGTTACAGAAGAAGAAGTCGACAGAAGAAGTCGAAAACAAAGAAAAGAATATATCCATAATTCCACCATCCAACGGGAACTATTATTACCATTTTACATAATTTACTCTAGACTCTTGACAATTTTTTTATTATCTAGGTATTTATAATTCTGCATTCCTTTTCTTATTATTTATTTTGCATTCCTTTTCTATGTAGCTTGTTTTATAACCATCATTCTTTAATAATTCTAGAATAATTCAATAAGAGATTATCACTATTTATTTCAGTCGTCATTGGACAGCTATTAAGTAGCAGAGCTGGGCAGGGCTGTGAACCCACATGTGCTGCCCTCCAAAGATTTGAAATCACAAGACACAGCTCCATTCTCCAACCCCATCTCATACCACTCTACTTTCTACATGGCTGATCTTCTTTGAGTTCGTCAAACATACTACACTCTCTTGTTAGGAATTATTAGGAATGGAAATCAGACAGAGCGACAGATTTAGAAAAATGATAGCTCTTAGGAACTGAGGGAAAATTTATGGTTAAAAATAATCTTTAGTCACAGTTGGTTTAACGATTTCATGTAAATTGTGTCAATAGCCTGAAGACAGATAACCATGTGCTCTTTTGGGTCCTTTCTGAGTGTCAGCCCCCCTTGACCACCCCTGCCCCCTCCCAACTGGACTTACCAAGTAAAACACAAAGCTCAGATAAGCTACGCTGACCACTGCAGCCACCACGTACAATGCCACATGCCCTAGATCCTGCACATAAACCACGACAAAGTACATGTTGATGGAACAGACGATAAAGACCAAGATACCGCCTGCAATCCTCCAGCCTCTGTCAAAAGAATCAGCACAGTTATTGGTAGAATACTCCAACCTGTCCACAAACAGAAAAAGACACTGTGTCCTTTGGGGTCACAGGACAGGAGTACGTGGCATTTCAAAATATACCAAAAAATGCCTATGTCCCAGATTAGGTTAAATGAACCAAAGTTACAAAATGATAGGGAGAAAGAGGAAGAAGAAAAAAAAAACACTATCAAGTAATCCCTATTACTTAAGCCCCTAAAAATGCAACAAGCCTTACAAGTGAAAAAGTCATGAGTCCCTGGAGATGCAACAAGTCATTTAAATACCCCATGTACTTTAGAGATGTATATAAAAGGTATTAGCTTATGCCTCCCTCATTAAGATCATTTAACATGGATTTAAGATGCTTTAACCTTCAGTGGCTGAAGTTGAAGTTAAAGCCCTAAAAGCTAAAAAATTTCCCCCCAGAAACAAAAAATGTGCTTGCCCTCCATTGTTAAATTCATGGTCTCCATTTTCTTTAATTTTTTTCTAAACTGAAGTATAGTTGATTCACAATGTTGTGTTTATTTATTTTTATTTTTGGCCACACCCTGTGGCATGTGGGACCTTAGTTCCCTGACCTGGGATTGAACCAGCACCCCCTGCACTGGAAGGCAGAGTCTCAACCACTGGACCATCAGGGAGTCCCCAACAGTCTCTATTTTCTAAGTCAGAGATTGAGGGGGCAGCTCTAGCAATCATGTCTTAAAGCACATAGTCCCCCTATGACTTAATTTCTGACTGGTCAGTTTGAGGAAGATAACCATCCCCCCCACATCTTGGGGAACTAACAGGAGTACACTCACAATCCATTGGCAAATTCACTCATCACAGGCCGCAAGCTCGTAAACGTGAGGATGGGTATGAGAGCAAAGGGAAGCTGCAAAAGAAAAAAATAAGATCAGACAAGGCTACAGGGGTTCCTGTAACACCCCAGAGAGCAGCACTGTTAGCAAAAGGGAACCAGACCCTGCACACCTACTCTGTGAGAAATTATTCCTGTCATCACAATGTGCTGGAAGGTTATATGGAAATCTGTAGCATGAACCTAGCATCAGTTATGCTCATAGTGTCTACAAAATTTGTATCTGCCTTGTCTTCTTAATCTCCATAATACTCAACAGTCTCCTTTACATTACTTAATGTTTGCTTGGGTTAAGGAATAATTTTGTGTTTTATGTGTAATTACAACTTATAATTCTCATTCAACAGGCTTAGAAAAAAACAAGCCACTTTTAAAAACCGTTTAGATTCGATATTTCATATGTGTCCACCATAGACCAAGACTGTGCCTCTTTCTTCCCCACACCCACACTAGGCTTGTTACCTAAGGGCAATAGAGAATGCCTCCTGACTCAATGGGATGTGAGTTTCCCCAGCTCTCTCCTCACTTGTAAGCTCTGAAGAACATTGAGGAAGTCATTCATCCCTGTTAGATGCTCCACGTCTTGGAAGACGGCCACAAGCAGAGTGGGGATGATGGCAATAGAGCGGGTCAGAATCACTCGGGCAAAGCGTGACCATTTTAGGTTCAGGAATCCCTGGAAGAAAACACAGGAGGAGGGATGTCTGGAAGAGGAAACAGAAAAAGGTCTGGGGAGGTTCAGGAAGGCACGGGATTAAGAAGGGACAAAAGGGCAAGGTCCTTTAGTGTACCCCGGTCACAGCAGCACATACCTCCATGACAAACTGGCCGGAATAGGTCCCTGTCATGGTGGAGCTCTGCCCCGCAGCCAGGATCCCCACGGCCCAGATGTAGAGAGCGGCAGGCCCGAAGTAACACCCCAGCACAACACCCTGGAGAGGCAAGGGAGAAAGATCACCTGAGACAACACCCCAAACATACTCCTTCATGTCACTCCTCCCTATTCCTGGCTACTTACCCACCTCTACCAAGCAATGTGCTGGCACTGTCCCAGAAGCTAGACTCAGGTCCTGACCTCATATTAGAGGCTTTCAACATAAATTCTGCTGGATGGACCCCTATTCCCCCTCAGCCTAGTCCCTTCTCTTCTCTAGGCTCCTAAAGCTGTTATCCTCAACTCACATGTTAAGTATCGAAAGGAAAAATGTCTATTAACACACTTCCCAAATTATATTCCTGAACACACTATTCTGGAAGATGGTAATAGGAATAGAGAGAAACCGCCAATAAATTTCGGAAATGTTAAATACTATGTACTGTGTACTGTTGGAGGTTCACAATGTAATCAGCATAAAAGGGACAGCAAGGCCCCAGTAAAGACCACTTTACTGGAACTTCCCTGGCAGTCCAGTAGTTAAGACTCTGTGATCCCATGGAGAGGGCAGAAATTTCACCCCTGGTCCAGGAACTAAGATCCCTCATGCCACACAGCAAAATGTAAATAAATAAATAGTCTTCAGCCACACACACACAGAAGACCACTTTACCAAGGATACTTCTTTAGTCTCCCCAATTAACACCTAGAGAACAATATGCTATCAACATTAAGTTTGGGAATTGCTGATACAATTAAATCATCTTATCAGCTGATCTCCTATTCCCTTCCACGTAATCCAAAAAGCTTGTCTGGCATCTGGACCTCTGAAAAAAACACACTCCACAGAAGATATGCTGAGCTCTGAAGTGAACCCACTGAAAAGACCAGACACTATGCTGAGAATCTCGATTCAGGAGCAGAGATCAGAAATCTGAACACGTTTACCCCTTTGTAGATGTCCACAGCCAGTGTTGAGTTATCCTCTGGGAAAAGGTGAGTGTGGGGACTGCTGCTGTTGCTACAGACTGCAACCTGGAACCAAAGCAATTTAGGAACAACTTTTAATTTTGAGTCCAGAACTCAGTTAAGAATACCTCTCCCAACAGCTCATACACAGATGGATCATCTAAGAAACGAATCCTGAAGGCGAGACACTGGACACAGATTGATGACAGAAGAAACTGACGGCAAGGTCCTTGAGGTCTTCCTCCTCACTTTTCCTACACCCCCAGGTCATCAAATACTTTTCCTTGAGTTAGAGTGTGCATGGTAATACATGAATGCTGGGTCATTTTAAATAATAATTGGAGGTGAGGGCCCTTAAGTAGACTTCAAATATGAGACAGGGTGGCCTTATTCAAAGCAGAGCCAGGAGTCAGAGGTCATATAGATGGGAAACAAAGGAGTGATCAAAACTAGATTGGCAAAAAAAAAAAAAAAAAAAACCCACTAGACTGGCAATCAGGAGTCAAGAGGACAGAGAATTCAATGTGATAAAATAGCCTATCTAGCCACAGCTTCTATTTTCTGTTGGTTGACTCCTCCCGCCTGTAATCACCAAATGGCAGGACTGGCAAGCAGCCAGTAGTTGGTAAACAGGAAGCTAAAGGGGATGAAAAAGAGCAAACAGATATGAAGCCACCAACAACAGCATGCGGCAACCTTGGTCTACGGCACACTTCCTTACCCGTCTAAAGCTATGAAGGAGGGTTTGGTCACAGCCCCAGACTGTAAACCTGAGTAGTGCCATGACTTAGGGGCGGCACTGAGATCTATTTCCCCTGAGCTCGAAGTCACAGTCGTGCTTTCCTGCCCCAACTCGGCCTCCTCTTTACCCTCCCATTCACTGCTACTCAGGACCCGGGCTTACTTACCACCTGCTCGTTGGTTTTCCCAAAAAAGGCTTCGGCAAACACGGAGACGACAAAGACGTTGATGATAAAGGAAACAAAGAGCGCGATGCAGGACTCAATGAAGAAGTACTTATTCGCTTCTCGAACTTCCTGCTTATTGGCTCGGTCTACCTGTCTGGACTAGAGAGACAACAGCAACAGTCACTTTTTGATTAGCTGGAACAAGTTTCCTTGTGATATTTCGTTAAGTCTGTAGTCAGCTGAAAGGCCTAGCGGACAAACAACTGCCCATATGAAATGTGAGACTCCACTTACATTCTGGTTTACTGAGTGAGTAAGAAGTCATGACCCCTGATGACATCACACATCCCAAAGAGGAAAAAGTGAACGAGTGACTGCTGAGACCTCAGTTATGTGGCTGGAAGAACTGCTGACCTACGAGAACAATCTGATTTCAGACCTAACAGGGACACCACCTTAATTACAAAGGTCTCTGAAATCTTCCAACCAACGATTGTGATGGATTAACTGGTAAAAGCCAGATTAGGCTCTTTCCTCCTGACCTCCATGAGGCCATTCAGGCTTCTGAGATTTAAAGACAAGAGACACAGTGCCCCTTCAGATCTTTTAAGAAGGGCTCTAGTCCCTTCTCTATGTCATCCTGGTCCCATCTCTGGTCACCTTGGTGATACAAGAGTGTGGAGTCCAACTGTGGAAAAACGCTGTACTCCTTCAGGGCGCCAGCAGTTGTGAATTAAGTGTGTGTCCCTTGCAATGAAAGGAAAAGATGCCATGAAACTACACAGGCCACTGAGATAAGAAAGGTCTTGCTCACCTTAACTAAGGCAGAATGCAGGTACATGTTGTGTGGCATGATAACAGCGCCCACGATGCCCACAGCCTGCTCAATCTGTGGGGTACGACAGCCTGAACAGGATGGTAGGAACATGCCTTTGAGGACCTGGGTCTGGCTGGGTTTCACTGTAACATACTACATACAAACAGAACAGCTATTAGTCTTTTCTGGAACATGAGACTAAGGAGTGACATAGTACTAGAAAACACTGCATCTTTACTCCTTAAACTCCTTCATCAACAACTACATAGGAAATGAGGAACATAGAACCATCCAAAAAAACCAAGCAGCACAAGGTCAGAGAATTTAGGAATGGGGTATCCAGACACTTCACACTGTATTTTAGATATACGAAATCGATGTGTAGTGCTGTTCTCAGTCATGTCCGACTCTTTGCAATCCATGGACTGTAGCCTGCCAGGCTCCTCTGCCCATGGAATTTCACAGGCAAGAATACTGGAGAGGGGTGCCATTTCCTCCTCCAGGGGATCTTCCCCACCCAAACACAGAATCAAAGTCTCCCTCCTGCATTGGCAGGCCGATTCTTTACCACCAGCACCACCTGAGAAGCCTGGGATGTGTTGAGAATCTAATTAATATTCTAAAGAAATAAAACAGCTGTTAAGGGCTTTATTGATATTATTGTCACAATAACTCCTGTGAGACACACCTTAGAATAGTCAATTCTTTATTATCCACACTAATCATGCTTCCATGTTCACCTATGTATAGAAAAATCACTAATGCTTGCCACTAGCATCTGCTGAGACTCACCCAAAAACACTTTTTCCTGGTTCAGCATTTCTCTTGGAAGCCTTGGACCAAGCTCTATCATCTACTCATAGAGTAGACACATTTTCAAAAGCTTAGCTAGGCCAATAAGCAGAAATCAGTTTATAATAACTGGACACAGACAGGGGCATTATGAATAAAATGGTAGGGTTAGGGTTACTTTTAAACCAATGGAATGTCCGGACTGGGGCACAAACTGGGGAACATGTACTGTACCCCCTATAGTTCATTAATTGTTATAATACAGAGAAAGTCCAAGCTGCAACTACTGTCAACTAGGATAAGCAAAAACAAAACCCCTCTAACATTAACAGCCAAAGAATAACCCTGTAACCCCTTTCCTAACCCTCTCCAATGCTGTTCTGTTGCTGAAATTAACTTGGGACCAGAAATTCTAGTACAGTTTTAAACTAGGAGTCCCTGCAGGTCTTCCTGGACACTAGTCTCTGCCACGTCCTCATTCTTTTAAAATTGGCCAGTGCTGAATTCGGCTTTTTGTTAGCATGTACTGTCTTTCATAATAAAAGGACAAAAGCTTTGTTTTAAAAAGCTAAGAATAATAATTATAAAGTTAATGAATAAGCCTGTAATACTTGCCTCATAGCCAAATGTGAGGGCCATAATAGTGATGAGAAAACCAAAAAATGCTTCCAGCTTCCTCAAGCCTAAAGGGGAAAAATGCAGTAGTGAGTTCACAGAAGGTAGATTACCCTGTAAGCCACATGATGGAAAGCAGTTTCTTGGAGTGACCCCTCCATTCCCACTGTCCTTACCATATTTGTCCAAAAAGAGAAATACAAAAGTATCTGCAATGGTGATGAGAACTCCACCCCATAGAGGAACCCTAGGTCAGAGATTAAAAAGGGAGATTAAAGGAAAGAAACATTGAGAAAGACCAGTTTCCCAGCTTCCCAACAACTGTCCAGATACATGACACTTGGAGGACTTGACTTGGGAAAAGGGAACAGCATCAAGGAGGCCAGACCTTGGGTAGTTTAGGATCTCAGTACTAAGTGAAGTAATACATTCATTCAAACTTTAACTACAATTTCAGACATTCAGGACACAAAACTGAAAAGTATGGGTCTTACCTCTCAAGGGACTCACTTATAAGTGGGATAAACTGAGATACAAATTAACTATAACACACACTGCCACACACTGGATAACAACAGGTTTGTAGAACTTGACATGAGAACATGGAAGACAGAGCGCCTACCTCTGGCAGGAGAGAAGAAGGTGGTTCCAGAAAGGTTCCACAGAAAAAATAATACTTGAGCTGAATCTTGAAAATTGAAAATGACTTGGGATTTTCTTTTTACACTTGCTTTGAAATCTGGCAAAACAATGATTATTTGCTAGAGGAAAAAGCCCTCACCTTCCTAAAGACAGGAGATTGATGGCAATAGCTGAGCCAATAACTTCCTGCATGTCTGAGCCAATGATAGCCAGCTCCACCATCAGCCACAGGATGATTCGCGGAACCTAAACATCAAACAGCAGAAAGATATGGTTCTAATTAATCATTTCTAAGAACTTCCTCCATAGTTTGGAATTCATATTTTGGTGGTGATCCAATAACAGTCCTTTATTAAGCCTTAGGTATAGAGATGAAAAGCTTTACTCGGTCCCTTGCTGGACAGGGCCAGGTTGCTCTTTGTGGCAGAGCCTGAGTAAAGGTTAGGGCAGCAGCCGATGCCAATTTCTTTTCCTTCCATTTTACTTGACAGGAAGAATGGAGTTTCCGTTCATTATTTCCACTTAATTTTTTGCCTAAAAACAATCCTGAAAGTGTTAGGGGGAAATGAGGATGCTAAGATGGTCAAAATACTGTTCAGGAGAGAATAAAATACTATAGAAGAAAATATCTATTCTGACCACAGCTGAAGAGACAAAACAAACATGAAAAGTTTGGAGTCATCCTTAATATAATAATGCACAGACAAGCAATAAAAAGATAGATATACAAAGGTCCTTGGGGCAAATTGTTGGAATTGGGTGTTCTATAATAAAATCTGGGAACTAATCTGGTCAAATAATCAAACAGAAAGAAATTTAGTAGTGCTAGCTCACTGAGGCCAGGAAAAAAAAACCACTAAGAAACATGAAGCGTAAGAAATGTAAGAAGAAAGAGAAGCTAAAACAAACTACAAGTTACCAATTTTTTTTTTTTTTTGAGAGGCATATAAGGAAAAAAAGCAGGTAAGGATACTCTCTCACAGCCAGGAAAGGAGTTTAAACATTTAGGATGAACCAGAGATAGATTAGTACTTATCTAAAAATCAAGTCAGTTTAAAGCTATCCTCCAGACATTACGTCTACCCATTCCTGCCTTAGGCAGCAACAAGGCCCAAACGTCTAAACACACAGTTACCTATGATATGAGACAAACACTGCTTACCCTGGGATACTGGCGGTGGCACACTTCAGCCAGATGCAGCCCAGTGACCACTCCCAGTCGAGCTGCAAGGCGCTGGAGCAGGAGCCCCACGATGGTGGCCAATAGAAGAACCCAGAGCAACTGGAGAAGAACAAAACCCCACCATTACACTCATGAGATAACTGGTGGTTTAAGTTTGTTTGGCAATGTCAATGGGAAACAGTACACCCAGGAAAGAGCTCCTCTCAGGAATCCAATGACCTGAGTTCTGTATCACATTCTGCACAGAACTTGCTAGGTCACCTTACACCTTTCTGAGCCTTAGTTTTTCCCATCTGCAGTTGCGCTTTTGTTTAAGGAAACTACCTGGGTAAAACAAAACTAAAAACCACCTACATGATAAAGTTTAAAAAAACAGATGGAAAGGGCTTCCCTGGTGGCTCAGTGGTAAGAAATTCATCTGCTGATGCAGGAGAATGGGTTCAGTCTCTCATCCAGGAAAACCCCACACGCCACGGAGCAACTAAGCCTGTATGCCACAGCTCCTTGGCCGTCCTCTGGAGCTTGGGAAACACAGCTAATGAAGTCTGCACATCTAGAGCCTCTGCTCTGTGATAAGAGAAGCCACTGCAATGAGAAGTCCCAACTACAGTGCATCCCAACTAGAGAGTAGCCCCCACTCTTGCTGCAACTAGAGAAAAGCCTGCGCAAAGCAACAAAGACCCAGCACAGCCAGGAATAAATAAATAAATAAATTCCCCCTCCTAGTTGGGATTAAAAAAAAAAGATGGAAAAGCACTTTTCATCTGAGTGTCAGAGCCAATACAGAATCAACACATAGCCCCCAAGGTTGATATCCAACAGGCAGAGCAGAGGAGAAGTATGTTGTGAGTGTTTAAAAAAGAAAGGGGGGAAGACTCCATGTTCACCTTAAATCCAGCCACTGCTCCAGACTGCAAATCAGACTCAATGTTTCCTGGATCCAGGTAAGCAATGCTCATAAGAAATCCTGGTCCCGTGAAGGCCCAGAGTTTACGAAAGCTAAAACAAGAGTACTGTACAAGAGAGGAATACAGAACAAAATGATTATCACCTCCAGGGGAAGAATGGATACATGCATATGTATGGCTGACTCCCTTCACTATCCACTTGAAACTAGCACAATATTGTTTTGTTTTTTTTTAATATTGTTAACTGGCTATACTCCAATACAGAATAAAAAATTTAAGAAATAGTAATAAAAAAAAAATGTATCTTGGAGAAAAAAAAATGATTACCACCTCCAAACTGCTTGTCTAACATGTATTATTTTGTCACATAAAAAGCAACAATATCAGCTTCATAAGAACAAATAATTTCAGAAGTTGGACATGAGTGTCTCTAAGTTTCTTTTCCATCTTATCCATTCCTATCAGCAACCTGTTAGCTCTCTGTCCAAATAAGAGCCCTTCTCTTACCTGCCCTTCCAACAGCCTTTCATTCTAAAACCCCAGCAATAATAACAGTACCTCTGTGCTCAAACACTACCCAAAGGGGACAAAAGGCACCGTGAGAAAGGGAACATGAAAATCATGCTTTCTGGATCAAAAAACGCTCACCAGTAAAACTTGGCAATGGTTTTTCAAGGACCTTAGTTTCCTTAACAGTTTCTCTGACTACAAAAATTCAGTCTTCAGAGATTGCCTGTCAGAATTGACTCTGAGATTGCTGATCTTCAGTTGTCTAGCAGACATTGTACATAGTTCTCCCTAAGTAATAATATTTTCCTCCAAGGACCTGTCACTAACCTCCTCCTCAGGAATGGCAATCTTCTCATCAAAGTAGGTGGTGAAGGGGTCCGCTGAGCCCGCCCCAGGGGACTGCTGAATTGAGGAGTTACTGTAGGCAGGGTTGATGGCACCAAGACTGGCAGAGTCTCCATGGTCTCCAGAAGCATCTTCTGAGTTAAAAGAATTGAGAAGAAATTAATTAAAATGAACAAAACACACTAATATTAAGGTACTCGGTCGTGTCTGACTCTTTGCAACCCCATGGACTATAGTCGCCAGGCTCCTCTATCCATGGAATTTTCCAGGCAAGAATACTGGAGCAGGTTGCCATTTCCTACTCCAGGTGATCTTCCTGACCCAGGGATTGAACCCGCATCTCCTGTGTCTCCTGCATTGGCAGGAAGATTCTTTACCACTGCACCACCTGGGAAGCCCAATGCAGGTGGTAATATCAATGATCATCTTTAGAAGTACTAAAATTAAATCTTTTTAATACCTAAATAAATGCACAAGATCTACCTAACTCCATCTCAATTTCCAGTATTATATTTTTAAATTAATTTTTGAATAGGCAATACACTCAAATGGCTGAAAATTTGAGAAACACAAAAATGCTTACAGTAAAAAAGCTCCCCTCTCAACCCTCTTCTCCAGTCACTAAGCTCTATATCGGTTTTTAACACTAATCTCAAATTGTCTCCCCCAAGTTTCACACTTCTATTGTCACTTGCCAATTTTTAGAATCATTTCATTTTCTTCCAAAATCACTGATGTCTAGGGCTCAATATGTAACATCCCCAGACTAGCCTCACTGATAACCTAAATCTTAACTTTTAGAAGGAAATAGGCTAACGGGACACCCCTCTCTCCACCTCCCACCCATTATTTGGTAGGATTTACTCAAAGGATCATCCTTGGACATTGTATCTCCATCAGGCTTCCCCAGAAATGGCTAACTTACAAAACACTATCATATTTCAGGTTAAGATCTGTAGCCGCAGGGAAACGACCAAACAGGAACCCTTTGCCACCTGACTAAGGCCTGCAGTGTAGAGCCTGGGGAGGGGGAGGTGTCACCCTTGTGACAGGAGCGCTCACCGCAGAGCAGACTAATCACCAGTGTGATTAGTCTTCCTGCTGCATTTTGCTGCTAATTTTAAATCTGGCCGGAGGGAGGGGGGGTGTCCACCGAGGGTCAGACAGAAAAGGGCTAACTCACCAGCAAGTTAGGAAGCCCAGTCTGCTGAGACCATCAAATGGCTCTTTTTAACCATAAAGCTCTAATCTCACGGTTCCAAGAACCCCTTGCAACTGCCAATTAGAAAAACAAAAGCTTTCTTTTTATAGGGAACTGACCCACTTCATCTTAAGTGACACTGAATTGAGGAGTAAATTTACAGAAAAGGAATGGAAATTCTAAAGGAGAAACTTAGAATCAGGAAGGGGCTAGCTCAGTATTTTCGTGTTCCACTCCTACCTGAAGTGCCTTCAGCAGTCAAAGCACCCCAGAGGTTTTTATACCAGGTCTGCAAGTTAGACTGCCTTTACAAGCACTACTGCTATAGAAACCAGACTTGCAACTAATCTTGGCTCATCTCAGAACTGGAAATAAAATTGAGGCAGGTCTCTGTGGTTATAAATCCATTTTCATTTACAGCCTAAGTCACCAGGTCATCTAAGTCACCTCTGAATGGAGCAGGTCTCTGTGACATTGATGGCTGGGGGACAGGAGATGGCGACAATTTTTGATGGAACAGAAGACAAGAAGCACAATATGGTAAATCTCTGTTACTGGCTTAAGCCTAATTTCAAACAAAAATGAGTCAATGACACAAAGCTGTAAATTACCATCTGGTATCTTCTGTTCAGGACCCAACACCATGGTGGACACCTGAGTGCCTGAGTTCTTAGAAAAGGATTCTGGAAAAGAGAGAAGAGAAGGAGAGGAATTAGCAAGAACAAATTAAAACAAGTTCACAACCAGTATTCTGTGACACTGAATACTAAGTTTAGAATTAACTAAGAAGTAGATTCCTTAATCAGTAGATCAGAATTTTTAAACAATTAACCTTATTGGTGGAGTTGACTGGAGAATATGCCATAGATCTGTGGCATAGATCTATGCCATAGATCTGTTCAGTATGACTGAACCCTTACTATGCAAAAAGAATAATTGTTCTACTGAATTAGATAACCTTGAAAATAATCACAGTTTTCAGAATTTTATTAAGAGATATTTAAGGGGGAAAAATGAAATACTGGCAAAACTTCGAAAAAAGTGAAGCAAAAGGTATTTCAGGCAAGTGGGAAAGTAGTTTTTAGTAAGTATCCACAGGAGACAGTGAAGGATAGGGAAACCTGCCATGCTGCAGTCCAAGGGGTCGCAAAGAATAGGACATGACTTAGCGTCTGAACAACACAAAAAAAGCATCCATACAGAGGCTTCCAAGCAATCATTCTCCCACCCTTTACCTCCAATTAACCCAAATATTGAAAAGACTGACTTCCCACCATTTTGATGAACTTTTAAGGACAAAGATCTATAACTCTCTCTGATCTAACTAACAATTTAAGCTCATGTTTCAAGTTTCTGGAGGGTGGGCAGGAAGGGGGAAAGACCTCACCAGCACACTGGTAGGAGAGAGCCACTATTTCCCAGTCTCACCTTTCCCTGAGAGAGACTTCAGCTTTAAGGTTTCAGGTCTCATTCCCCAACACTTCAACAACTGAGAGAAGAATGAGTGACCATGCTCCCCTCAAGGAGAGCTGAGGCACCTGGAGAAAAAGGCACAGACAGCAGCCTGCCTGCACCTCTCTCCATCAGCAGTAAGTAACCTACGAGGAGGGGTGAGGAGTGAGGGATATTGGGGGTCAGAGGGGGTATCCCAGATGTCCAGCCTCCTACTGGGTTAAGTTCAACTGGGGTAGAGGGCTTACGTTTTACTGGGCTAAGTTTAACAGGTGGTAGAGGGAATATTAGTAAGCCCACTGGGCCACAGATCTATGGCATATTCTCCAGTCAACTCCACCAATAAGGTTAATTGTTTAAAAATTCTGATCTACTGATTAAGGAATCTACTTCTTAGTTAATTCTAAACTTAGAAATAATGGGAAAGGTAAATAATGTTGTCAACCACCTCCCCTTGAATCCCAGTAGCAACTATCCTACTGAAAAACTGAGGAAGCCTCCCCTTATCTATCCTTGACTAGTCTCTTTCTACTCTTGTACCATTATTGCTCGTATGTGAACAGTGCTCTGCATTCTTTTTTAGATAATCTATTGACATATTCTAGGGCTTCCCTGGTAGCTCAGCAGTAAAAAATCCTCATGCCAATGCAGGAGACTTGAGTTCAAGCCCTGGTAGGGAAGATCCCCTGGACAGGGAAATGGCAACCCACTCCAGTATTCTTGACTAGGAAACCCCATGGACAGAGGCGCTTGATAGGCTACAGTCCACGGTGGTCACAAGAGCTGGACATGACTTAGCAACTAAAACAACGACAACAAATCAACATATTCTTTACCTGTTTTGCCAAATTACATAATTAAGACCTGAAAGGGGTATTAGATTTCATCTATTTTCTGGAGTATAAAACATAGCAACATCTAAATCTTGCTAATTTAGAAAATATAAACTTTCAACTCTATAGTCACCTATAAGGAGACTCTGGTTATAATAAACAGCAGCCATGTCCTTCCTATCAGTTTGAGCTACGAGATGGTTTCTCCAGCAGACCTCAATACTGCTGACTAAATCCCACCCCTCTTTCAGCCAGCACCTCAACTAAATGGGACCACTCAGCAGCGGTACCACTTGGATTCCAATCACAACACAGCTCCTAGACCCCACTCAGAGCCTTTTTACTTTTACTTAATTCTAAGCAGCCAGGGTAACACACAATAAATTAGAAACTACAAATCCGATCTGGGACTACAGCTCTCACACAGGAAATTTATATGAGACAACTTCCTTATACTTCAATGAGCTCTGAGAACATTAAGATTATTGGAAATTTCCTGGTGGTCCAGTGGTTAGGACTCCACGCTTTCCCTGCAAAGGGCAAGTTTAATCACTGGTCAGGGAACCAAGATCCCACAAGCCACACAGCACAGGTCCCTCACCATACTCCCCCAAAAAGAGTGTTATCATTGAGAGTTCCCTGGTGGAACAGTGGTGAGGATTCTAGTCTTTCACTGCTGTGGCCCGGGATTCAGTTCAATCCCTGAATGGGGAACTGAGATCCTGCAAGCCACATAGCACAGCCAAAAAATAAATAAATAAAATGGAAAGGAGTGCCAAAAAGTGTTGAGTGGTTATTTTTAAAAGAATATTATTATTAATATTATATTATTATTGTTAAGAATAACTCAAGTTTCTAATTGCTGCCCTACTCATGAAGAATCAATAAAATTTGATTACTTTTGTATGATAACTGATACTCGGTTTCAGAAGGCACAGAAGTGTTCAGTACATTTGAGGAAGATTCCTATCCAAAACAGGCCTTTAAACCTTGTATCTTTATAAAGCAAACAGTTGAGACAGCAGTGTGTTTTTTCCCAATATGAAGTGTGAAAAGGTGACAGCTAAATAATTTTAAACAGAAATATCTCAAGATAAAAATTTTAATAATTACTATTAGTATTCTAGGTGATTACTCCCATAATTACTTATAGATCTAGTAAAACACAAGAAATCTGATCTTTTCTGTGAAATCTCTTTCCAAGAAAGAAAATGGATTCTAGATTCCAACCTGTTTGCTGGTTGTTTTTTTTTTTGCTGCACCATGCAGCTTACGGATCTTAGTTCTGGATCAGGGGTCAAACCAGGCCCCAGCAGTGAAAGCACTGAGTCCTAACCAGTGGACCATCAGGGAATTTCCTATTCCAAATTTCTCATCAAAACAGTCAACAAACTATAAGCGCCATTGCTTGCAGTGTCTGCAGAACATAACGAGGGCAAGGAAGGGAGAGTCAGTATGCTTGGCGTGCTGCACAGAGTTTAGGTCTCCATGGAAATCCAACACCCAGATAGAAAAAGTAAGTTAACAATAAGACCACTTTGCTCTCCAGGACCAAAGCACCAGGTCATTTCAGTCATTAAATTACGTTAAGAAAAAGATCAAGTGGAGACACAAGCAACAAGAACCAACCCTGCAGGACTCTGATATTCATGATTAACAGTGTGCCTTGACATTCTAGCTCACCCCTAACCACTAAGTGTCACCTTCTCTTAAAGCCAGTAAGCTTCCTCCTATCAAACAACCATCAACAGCAGGGGAAAAAAAGGCACTCACGGGTCAATGTATTATAACTATTTTACCCCATTCCTTATCAAAAAAGTTGAAAGACTGTTTTACAAAATAAGAATGCTAATTACATTTTCTGTCTAAATGTCAAAAGTCTACATATCCTTTGACCCAGCAATTCCATTTCTAAAAATGCATACAAAAGAAATATTTGTACAGGAAGTATCAGTATATGCAAGAATATTTCCCACAGCACTGTAGTGTCAAAAGACTAAAACAACCTAGAACATTCATAGAATGGAATACCATAAATAAGGCAGATCTAAACGGATTGATAGGAAACAATCTCCAAGATACACTGTGAAGTTAAAGATATAATTTATAGAACAGTATGCTATCATTTATGTAACAAAAGAGAGAGACTGAGAAAATACACATACAGAGGAAATTCAAAGGACATGCCAAAAACTAGTAACACTGACTCCAAGAGGAAGGAGTGGAGGAGCACAAATGAGGTCAGGCAAAAGAACCTCTCATGAATATACACTGTATGCAGTTTTGCAATTAAAAAAAAAATGGCAAGTAAATGTATCGCTTATTTTTTAAAAACATAAAGATCATGTAGATTTACTGTTTCCCAACAAACACCTCAAGGCACCTTCCATTTCTCAATGAACACTTCAGGGATCAATTCTCTCTGACAGAGCTTCTACAGTGGATAACCAGAGATCTTGGACTTAGTGCACAAACAGCCATGCTGTGAAATTGAGATTTGGAAGTTTCTCCTGAATCCAAAGAAATAAAAAAATCTTCCTCAGCAAATCCTCCTCTTCACTCCCTAATATGGGTTAAATGGCCCTCTTTCATGTTCCCCAAGGCATCTGCTGCTTACTACTATCATATCATGTTATTCTGAAAGCACTTATTCCCTGATACTACTCTTGCAACTTCTCTGCAAGTTTGAAATTACATCAAAATAAAAAGTTATATCCTCCAACACTTACTAGTTCTAATAACTTATGAGAATTTAACTCACAGTAATTCCAGGTGTTCTCTTGGCATTTACAAGAACTCCAGCAGAACAATGTGAATAGCCCAACACTGGTTTAAAAACTGCCGCCAAGGAAGTATGAAACACTGAGTATTAAGTACACACAACTTCAACTTTCCCCCCCAAGGCTAAAAAAATGCTTGAATGTAAACTGATATTTTTCTTAGAAAGCTCTCTTACAGACAGCAAGGGTACCTAAAACCATTTCACTGATTTTAGGAGCTGTTGCAAAGGTCTCCCTAAAATTAATTTTAAGTTTTGGAGAGGAATGTTTTTTGAACAGTCCTCTTAATTCTTCTCCCCTTCTTTCCCCCATTATATAAATAAAATCAGAGACAGCATTAAGTAGGAAAAGAAGTTTCATAGAGGCAACCAGAAAAGTGTGCATGGAATCAGTTGATTAGATAAATATGAACAGGAATGTTTAAAGCTGACTGGCAAAGCCACCTCTTCTCCCTCTTGATGTTTCCTCAGCCAATGTTCAGGGTTCAATATGTTGGCGACAAAGTGGAAACTGCCAGAAACAGGCCTTAAAAGTCATACCCAAGTTGTTTATCAGAGAATAAAAAGGAGTTGTGATTTTTAAAAAAATTTAAAAAAGAATTCCATTTGCTTGAAGACA